CATTTCTTTATAAATATAAGCTTATTGTGATATAAGGTCCTTGTGGATTTAATCAAGTTAAAATGAGGCCCTGTGTGGTCCCTTATCCAATATGAACGTTGTCTTTAGAAGAATCAAAAATACTACATGGGCTGTCTGTGAAGACACAGAGACACACAAGGAATGCTGCATCAGGATAAAGGCCAGGTTGGGGGGATGGAGCTGTACATTTAGGATTAACAGCCACTCTAGAAGCTAGGGAGTCAGGAAGGATTCAAAACTTTGGGGAGATCTTTCCATTCTCACTTAATTTCAGTTAACCATTGACAATGACACATGGCCATGAAAGGCAAGGGAAGCGTGGAGGGCTACCACATCCCCATGGTCTCTCAGGAAGCTAAGCAAAGTGTTCTCTTCAAGGGTGGGCCTGCCAGCGACTCACTTGCATTTACTCAGATAATGCTTTTCTATTATAATACACATAGTCACAATCATGTTTTACAACTCTTTGCAATAAAAATGCAGTTAACTCAAGGCTTTCATATGAAATTCTCCAAAAGGGTTCTATTCACCATTAATTTGATTGAATTGGCAGGCCAGTTTGGTTAAATCACTTGAACTTTTGGCTGTTTACAATATTTTAAACTATAGTTCTGATTCTTTTCTGCTCTGTTAGGAGGAAGAAATGGTACATTAAATCTGTTTATGGGTAGAGGCCCTAAGTAAGCTGTGATTTCAACTGTTTCCCCAAAGTAAGCTATGGTTTTGATTCTGTTTGAGAAAGCAGATTTATCTTTTTTTTTTTTAATTTTAAAAATAAAAGGAGGAAAACATTAATAGACAAGCAACATTTTACAAAATAGCAAAGGAACAGTACAGACAATACAGAGTTACAAACAAAGTGGTAGGGAATTAACAATGCTTGTTGTATTACATATTGATATCTTCAAAGTGGCTTCTCATGAAAACAGATATAGACATGCAATTCTGGTCAACCAAAGACTCATTGACAGTTTCTTTCAGCAAAGAAATACAAGACAGTAGAACAGCCATGTTAACTATCCTGCATATACATACATACAAAATTTCTCCTACTTTCCCTTCTCTTTTCCCACATCCCAGTTGCCCTTTACCTTTGAGTGCTTTCCTATGCATTCACAATGTCTATCATATCTCCTAGTTTAAATTAACTTGAGAAAGCAGATTTATTTTAATTTTCATTTGACTTTCTTCCCCCTCTCTTTCTTTCTTCCATAATTCTGCTTTCTTGCCAAGCATTTTGTTTGCTCACTTTTTTGCTTCCTTTTATTTATTTAAAAAAGAGGTCACTTTTTAGGGAACTACAATACATATATTCTCAGTTTAGGTGCATATTAAGTTTGACTACTGAAGAGATGCAGAAGAATCCTGTGAAAATTCTTTCTAAGGTGTCCTGTTTGCAGAAATAACACCTATTGTCTGAAATTCTTAAGCATTTCATTAAGTTTACTTTAAAATTTAATTATGTAAAATCAGTGCATTAGAGCTTGTGCAGTCATTATGGCTTAGAAGATGATCCCTTAAGAGTTGCATACACAAGGGAGCTAGGAGGTTGCATTACCAATTACCAAAATTTGCTTAATGCAGGCTCATTCTTTTTTCTACACATTGCAGCATTTATTGGAAAAATTCCAAAATCTTATGAATATGTATGACCTAAATTGTCCATTTAGCTTGGCAACAAATAAGTGTTTCCTGCTAAATTATACAATATTGGCCATCAATTACTTTAAAAGTATGCCACTGAAGGCTTTGCACAAGCATGCAGATAGAAATGACAGATAGAAACAACAATTTCCTATATCCTTATCACATATCTAAAAAATTAGGCAGCTCCTAAAGCCCATAATTATACACACAAAACCAACATACAGCATGTATACATTAGGTTTTCTACATTAAAATACACAGGATTAAAAGTTTTCATTTTATATATGGTATTGTATATCCTTACATGGGTTTACCAATTTTATAATTCTCTTGAGTGCATCTCTTTCACTATCACTCATCCACTTAATCCCTAAATCATATTAATGACTTTGTTTAGAGACAACTTTAGGCAGAGGGACATTTGGAATGAGACAAAGAGACTATAATGATTAAGCCCTACCTCTAAGAGATCAGGCAAAAAACTTGCTTTTTCTATAATACTGTCTTGTTTTTCAGTATTAAATTCTCAGGAGATTTACTAAAATGAGCAAATATGATATTTTCTGTGTTGCTAAGTGATGGGATTCAGGTCTTAATACTCCCAAATACAGTACCTTGGCATTTGAGGAAATAACAGAAGCAGGTGGATCTCACTCTGACCTTCTCCCATCCTTTGCTTCTGACATAAATCATAAGGCCTCTTTGAAAGATGCCCCCCTCATCTCATAACTAGAGGAAAGCCCTTGTCTCTGAAGACACAGAGAGGACGTGGGGCACAGAGAAGAATCTGTATGAACAGCCCTTGTTATTCTCCTCTTTTATGATCACTGGATCACACCATTTATGTCCGATCATACTTCAGAATGATGGTCCAATGTTCATCAAGCCTAATCATAAAAATATAAAATGTGATTCAAAATAGAGTGAATATTTGAATTAAAAAATATATTACATAAAAGATGTGTTGACACAAATCTCCTTCAAAATACCCCCCTTAGAAAGAAGGAGAAATTTTGTATGTATGTATATACAGGATAGTTAACATAGTTGCTCTACTGTCTTGTATTTCTTTGCTGAAAGAAACTGTCAATGAGTCCTTGGTTGATCAGCATTGCATGTCTCTATCTGTTTTCATTAGAAACCACTTTGAAGATATCAATATGTAATACAACAAGCATTGTTAATTCCCTACCACTTTGTTTGTAACTCTGTATTGTCTGTACTGTTCTTTTGCTGTTTTGTAAAAGGTTGTCTGTCTGTTAATGTTTTATTTTTATTTTTAAAATAAAATTTTATTTTTAAAATAAAATTTAAAAAAATACCCCCCTTACCTTTCACACATTATGGCATCATTCTTGCCACTTTGGGAAGCAGAAATCCCCTTTCCTGGATTTAGCTGTGCTGTCCTGGATATCTTGATTTCCTGAAATTATTTGAGACACTTATCTTCCAAGGTCACTTTGATTGGTGCCGAATTGAGTGTATACAGTAGATGAAGTCACAGGATAATGTTTTTATGAATCTGCTTTTCTGTTGGATAGCATTTGGCAGCAATATTCCCCACATTTTTGATCATACTTGACAAAGGCAGTCTTTTGAGAGGGGTTAATGGCAATAGACCCTTGATGGTAATAATTTAAAGTTTTTCAACATTCACTATTTTTTGATCAGCTTTTGTACACAGGGTTTTCCTGTAGCTTTGGGTCTTTATTCTGAAGGCTCTCATGCCACCTAAAAATTATTAAATAAGTTTGTGTGAGTTTTTCTTTTTCCTCTCTCTTTTTTTGTTTAGGAGCCTTACAATGAACCTCCCGATGGTAGAGGGAAGGAGTCTTTCCTCCATGCATGATTTTATATTCACTCTTTTTTTTTGGTTTTTCTCCGGTACCAGGAACCGAACTCACGACCCTATGCTTGCCAGGCAGGCGCTTTGCCGCTGAGCTAAATCCCCAACCCCGAGTTCACGTTCACTTTGTGACTATTTATTGGGCACAGCTGATTATTAAATGTTGCTTCAACCATCTATCTTATAAGCCGTATTTGAGGACTGAAGGAACCAGAGCAGACAAATAAGAATCACCAAAGAGAGTCTAATGCAGATGGCGCACGATGGATCTGATGAGAAACTGCTCTCCATGTTTCTTTCTATGCTGGCTTGAATTAGTCTAATTACAGAGGGAAAATGCAGAGCCTTTACTCAGGGGATGCTGGTAGTGTACTTGCTACAACATGGAGAGAGTTCTATGCCAAGAAGAAAATATTCCTTCCATTTGCTTATTGTCTTAAATAAAATCAATCAGATGCTATATTTTGGGTCAAGAAATCATTGAGTAGAAGCAAATCACTTCTTACCCATCCCTCTCTAAACAAATTGAGAATATGAAGATTTATGAGAGTATTTACTTTTTTGATCAATTTTGCATGCCTGTATCTAGTAACCAGAACAACTACTTTAAAGATAACAATACGCAGGGGCTGGGGATTTAGCTCAGCGACAAAGCACCTACCTGGCAAACGCAAGGTCGTGAGTTCGGTTCCTGGTACCGGAGAAAAACCAAAAACCAAAAAAAAAAAAAAAAAAAAAAAAAGAAAACAAGATAACAATATGCAATTTAACAACCTTTGTTGATTTCCTATCATCTTGTTTTGAAAATGTGTATTGTCTTTCATTTTTTTTTTTTTATATTTTATTCTCTTAAAAAATAACTTTCTGGAAAAAAAGCACTTCATAGTAGTGTGTCCCTTGGACTTTACTAAGACTTTCATCCTAAGGAACAGAAATTCAGAGCTGATGTGAATCATTTTGTTACTCAGTCATGTCAGAAAAGTTTGGCTACAGCAGGATTGGACAAATTCTTTGAAAATATGATATGTATTTATTTCTACATAATAAATAGGAGTCATGAAGAATGAGAAAAACAAAGTAAGAGATAATCTCCCTTCAAACAACTGTAAATTATATGCTAAGTAATTCAAAATATTTGTAGTTTTCTATTAAAGAAATCATGCTATTAGCCTGAAATGATAAATTCCTGAAGGTTGCTTTTAAACATGCAAAATACTTGCCTAGAGTGGAATGGAGTTTAACAGTAAGTACATGGATATTTTGAATATAATTTCCTATTTATTTTAACGGGAGATCCCTTTACTATGTTTTTCCTTTCGGTCATTTCATTAAGGATTTGACTTGACAAACATTTGTAGATATCCAATTTAAAGCAATTGCAGTTCTGGTCCTCGTTCAAAGTTAGTCAAGTTAGTTTTCAGAAACAATTAAATCCTTTTGATTTTACCTTCAAATATTTATCCATTTCTTCCTACTTCATTTTCAGATTTCTCCAAAATTCAGTGGCTTAGAATGGCAACAGCAAGGTTAGCTGGTCTCCACCTCCTGGTATCCAGGCCTTTGCCAGGATGACATGAAGGCTGGGATTTCCTTCGTCAGCAGGCATCTTCGCTCACATGCTGGAAGGTGAGGGGTGTCTCGGCTGGGATTACAGTTGTGCTTTTATCTGGCATTCACGTGTGGTCTTTCCCTCTGTTTCTCCTTATGGACTTAGTCTGGGCTTCCTCAGAGGTTGGCATTGTACCCAAGTCAGAGTACCCAAAAGGACCAAGGAGAAGCTGTAACATTTTATGAGCTAACCTCAAAAACCAAAGAGTTTTGCTCACTTCTTCAATACTTATGAGGGTGGGGTAGGGCACTAATGCCAGCTCTTGATGTGAAGAGTCGCAAACTCACACTGGGAACTGGAGTTGTGGGACCACAGTAAAGGCATCCACTTTTGTTGATAGAGTGTGCTGCATTCTTCCTCTTCTTATCTATAATCAGTATTGTGTTTTAGCGTGTCATGGTTTGGGGTTTTTGCAAGGGGAACAATATAATACAAGACACATATTCTATAAGATTATTTATAATAGTCTCCCAAAGAATCATATACAGAGTGCAGGAAATCTGTCCACACACTAAAGGCCCAAACAATCTGGTGGAGGACCTGGATCCCATGGCAATGTCCAGCATGGGAGTCCAGGTGAAGACCTAGAGCCCATAACAATGCCTCCCATGAGTCCAACTGGAGGCCCAGAGCCCATGACAATGTCTCCTGCAGGCCTGTTTCACGGATCTGCAAAGGTCAGTGGTGGAAGCTAGAAAGTCTATGCCAGTGGGATAAAGGAGCTGTGCTAGCAGGCTGAGGAACCTGCACTGGAACCAGGAAACAACACTCAAAGTAAGAATCAGGATGCCGTTGAAAAGTACCACAGCCATCCTCTGCAACAGGGAGGTCCTGAGCTCCTCTGCTGATTAGGACAGCTGAGTTCCTATCAGGAAAACCAATGCAGCAAGCTTCTCCAGGAGACTGAGAAGTACACCATCTTTCCCTCCGGAGGCAGGAAGCAATGCTCAGAGTGAGGATCAGAGTCCCCCAAAGTGAACTGAAGCCATTCTCAGTGACAACAAGGTCCTGAGCACCTCAGACAATGAGAACAGCCGAGTTAATCAGGAAAGTCAGAATGACAAGCTCCTCCAAGAGAACCAACAGTTCCTTACAGCTTCTAATACCACCTATCAGCTTCTCTGTCAGCTCCTGATAGCCTTGCTGCTTCTTCTCCCATTCTTCCTCTTATGCTTCTGGCAACAACCTTCAGGTGGGCCTCCCACACCCAGCACCACACTGTTTCAATTCAGCTGGGTGTTAAAAGTTGTCCACCAGTTGTCAATCCACTACACTGCATGTATCATGAGTTTTGTTAAGATGTTAAAGTTGCTTGCCTCCTATATGGTCTCTTTGTGTTCTAATTCTCTTCAAATCTACATTCTATATGGCTGTAGGGATGATCAATTCAAGGTACAAATCTGTCCGTCCTCCCACTGTTCCAAACCCTTCAAGGCTCCCTGTAGGGGAAGGTCCCTCAGCATGAAGTACACACTCTTCATGATCCCCTTGTCAGACTGTGTAAGTGGATCCCTGGTCCACTTAGGTGGCATTTTCCAACACGAATTAGCTGCTCACAGCTCTTCCTTGTTCCTTTCCTTGGACATGCACTCATGCCACGCTGCCACAGACTTCCGCGTCTCTTAGTGGTGTCTCTTCTCCCTCAGTTGTCTCCTCACCATCTTCATCTTCTGATAATGCATTCCAGTTCCACTTCCTCCTCCCAGCTTACAACAAGATCTCAACTTACCTTCAAAGCTGTTATTCCTACTTTTAACCACTCTGTCTCATTTTTATCATTGATTAAGTGGAATCATAGTCTTCAGCTCACAAGCTACTTAAAAATCCATTGAAGTCAGAGTCTATAAAGTGCTTATAACAATAGCCACCCCTGGGCACTGTGCGAAAGATGTTAGTTATGGTCACTACTAGCCACTTGCTCTGTGCATTTCTGGCAAACTGGTGTAATTCTGGAAAGGGTCTCACCTCAACATCTTTGCTCTTGTTCCTCCTTCTGCACGGAACTTCCTATCTTAATTTTTATCTATACCCACTCTCCTTTCCCTAAAGTCTATTTTAAATTCTGTAAATTCCTTAGTGAAAACATGATTGTTCTCTGAAATTCAAACTTTATACATCCTCTTGGCTTTTGCCTATTCTCTTTGCAATATGAGTTTATTTAAATACACACTATTTATGAAAACTTTAAAGATAATGGCTACATTATGTATTTTAATCACTTTAATCCCAAACTTTCTGCCTTGGTTAAAATACTTATTGCCTTAAACTAGACTTGAGACAAAATATTACCTTATCAGATATTTTCATAATACTAAACCAAAACAAATATATATTAAATCTGATGTATTCAGTTTAGTTTTTACATATTTTGTCACATTTATCATATATTCCTGTAAGACACACCCAGTGCTTTGTGTTATAAGGTAGAAACATATAAAATGTTACTATTTTCCTACTTTTAATTCTTTTGATATGTTTGCTTTGTTTCTCTTCAGTTGTCTTTGTTTAATCTTTTCCTAAATGAAAGGGAAGGAATTACACAGATTGGCTCCATAGTATCCTACAGAAAGATTTAAAAATACATATTTGAATTTGCTAACTTATAACTTTATTTTTGAATCCCAAATTTATTTTATGAATATTTAATAGAGCTTAACATGAGATAAGTGTTGGGGCCACATGAGGGCTACAAAAATAAACAAAAATGTTTGTCCTCTAGGAACTCAACACCTACTAGGTAGAGAGGAAATCTGGGAGGTCCAGATAGAGATAGGGGATAATTCCAGCCCAGAAAAAAAATTAAAATCTTATCAGAAGATGTGGTACTTGGACTGCATCTCACCTGATGTGTTTGGTTGGATTTGTTAAACATTTGTTATTCCAGAGAAAGGACATGGCACAATAATTCTCCCATGGATGAACAATGTGAATACACATGGTCCTCAACTTAAGGGCTTTGACTTTATGGTTCTGTGAAAGCCAAACACAGTGTAAGCTGAAGTTTGGATTTTTATCTACTCCCAGACTTCTACTATGTGCTAAGATGCTGTCTCGTAATGCTAGACAGTCCCACTCAGCCACTTGACCACAAGGGGAAGCAACCATTGGTCTCTGTTGTACTGTGTGAGCAAACTATGGTATTTGGTGGGTGAAGTGTGTTAAATGCATACTTGACTTGCAATATTTTCAGCTCAGAATGGGTTTATCAGGATGTTACGCCCTGGAAGCCAAGGAGTATTTGTATACCTATTTGGTGGGATGACATAGAACATGAGGGAAGGAGGAATAAAATCTGGTTGACATTTATTATGAATGGAAGGGAAGAAAAAGAGAAAGCAGAGGAAAGCGAGCTTCAGACCAGATGGCAGAGTCTGCAGGTCACTGTTGTTCCGGAGGCTGTTGTGACACTATTGAAAAGTCCAGAAATTGTACGGAGAAAGAACCACTGAGGCAAATTGAGCAGAAAAGCATCTGACCTGAGACACCTCCTCTGTGAAGGTTTCAAGGCAATCTGGGACTTGGAAGCGCATGCTCATCCTGACACCCCTCCTTCTTGAGCCGCAGGCTGCTTCCTCGGTGAGGATTTCAGTCTCTCTCAACCCAGGCAGGAATCATCCCAGTGAATGACCTCAGGCGACAGCTTCGCAAACCATTTACAATACCCAGGAGACACCGCGAAGGGTTCCATGTCATTCTAATTCCAATTAACATCTTTCTTAATTAGAAAGAAATACAGAGGTACTAAAGGAAGTGATTTTAATTTGTTGCCTCTTCTTTAGCTTTCTGTTTGTTATATAAGAATCTACAGTATACAAATTTTAAGCCAAAGTCACGGAAGATTTGAGTATAAAAATAAAAAAAAAATTAGGTCGGATAAATTATTCCCGCTAATTTTTTGCATTTACAATTTATCCTAGCTTTAACATTGGCTTTGAAGAAATTGTGTACTTGCACTTTGCACGCTATTTCTGTGGACTCTTTTATGTCAGACTGTTCTAAACAATATATCTGTCATTATTATATGCGGAAACTGTGTCTTTAATTCATTTCTAATGGAAAAATCTGTTGTATACTTTTCACCTCTAAAACAGAGCAAAGCAGCAACAAAAAAGGGTGTGCTTCATTACAGCAATTGAATTTGGAGAGACCGTGCCATTGGCTATGTATATTAATTTACTTCTGAGGATGCTTCTAATACTGTCAGAAACTGAGAGCTTCCCTTCCTCCAAAAGAAAGACCCAGACACACCTCTACTTTTCCGCCTTTCTGATCTTTCAGAAAGCCGGGTCATCTTGCTCTAACTGGTCAGCTCATGCACAAATTATGGTTTCCTAAACATAACGGTAACTGTACTTCAAAAAGGAAGAAAATATTGTGTCTAAAAAAGTAGGGGTAAAGCATCTCAAAGAGGCTTTTAAACTACAGGGTAGTCATCTTAGTGTGATAACACGTTCCATAAAGACAGTAACAGAAAAACTTCTATTGGAGGTACTCACAGGTATTAAACTGACACCCGGAGGCAGGAGTCCCTAATCTAGGGCTTTATATCATCTTTCTTTAATTAAAGAGGAGAAATGTTTTATTTAATTTCAATAGAACCTGTGAAATACTTTCATCATTTCCTACATGGTGTGATAAGTAACTAATATGGTTAATGAAAACTGGTTTTTCCCCTTTATTGGTCAATAAAAAATGTTTCCATTTGTTGCATGTTTACCTTACTAAATACTTCAGTTAAATTATCTAATTTAGTTTTCAGAATGATATGTGATTAATACTATTACATCCATTTTATAGGGAAGGAATTTGTGGCTGAACATGCTCAAAGAAGTTCCCAAAGTTACAGGCAATTAAATGAGAGTTAACATTTGAATACAAATTAATGTGACTTCAAAATATGAGCTATTTTAATTTGCATCTCTTGAATGACCAATGATATTGAACATTTTTTCATGTCTTTATTTGTCATTGTATTCCTTCTTCTGAGAAGTATGTATTCATCTCAGATGCCCATTTTTGGATTGGGTCTTTGAATTTGAGGGGGTCTGATTTTTTTCAGTTCTTTATATGTTCTAGATATAAGTCCTTGTCTGAAGGACAGTGGGGTATAACCCATCTCACCCCAGAAAGAAAGGCTATCATCAAAAAATCAACTGATAACAAATGCTGGAGGAGTTGTGGGGAAGAAAGATTGTTTTTCCACTGCTGATGGGAGTGTAGACTGGTACAACCACTGTGGAAATCAGTGTGGAGATTCCTCAGAAAACTAGGATTAGTGATTCCATTTGACCCAGCTATTTCCCTTCTGGGTATCTTCCCAGAAGAATTAAAAACATCATACCACAGTGATATATGTGCACCCATGTTTATAACAGCATAATTTGTAATAGCTAGATCTTGGAAACAAGATGCCTGAGGAATGGCTAAAAAGGTGTTTTTTTTATATAAAGGAGTACTACTCAGCCATAAAGGAGGATAAACTGGAGAATTTTATAGGTAAATGGATGCAGCTCAAGACCATATTTATAAGTGAAATAAATCAGACCCACATGTGTAAACATCATATTGTCTCCCTAATATGAGAAGCTGACAGGAGGTGTTGTGAATGGGAAGAAACTTCAAAGGAAAAGACAAATTATGGTGGGAGAATGGGGAAAGGAAGAAAGGGAAGAAGGAAAGAATATATGTGTGCACAAGACAGTTAAAATACTTATACAGCTAGTTTCTCTTAGTTCATTGAAAAGAAAGGTTTGTGCTAATATTGTATGGACAAGATATCATGCCTGTACCCTGTACTTTGAATAACTACTGTGAAGACAACCATGTGCATTGCATTGATTGTTATAACTCTCTTACTAAACTGTCTTGAAACTGTTTCATGGTTCTTTTTATTTTTTCTTTTTAAAATAGAAATAATAAAAAATAAACAAAAATTTTAAAGACACATGAACTCTTCCCACAGCATTTTAATGACCCCTGTTCAGTAGCTTAGTGTGTTCTGCGGTGTTGGCATCTTATAACACCCCTGAACTCACCACTGACAGTGACCTTCAGCTTCAGCCTTCAGGGCATCTTATTAATTGGGACCTTTTATTACCAAAACTCTGAAATTCACAGGCCTAGCACCTTGAAGCAAAATGAATTAAGAAAGGTTCAATGTGTAACTTTCAAGTTGCTTTTTCAAATCGCTCATTTGATGAATGTAACTGTGGTTCGAAATGAAACAAAATTAGAAATGGAAATAATCTACTTACTTTGTAGTCAGGAGAACCTAGTCTTTGTTATGGTCCCTTTTTTTTTTTTTTTTCACTATTCTTTTTCCTCCTCACAAAATAGTGTAATTGTGAGGTTAACAGTCCTTTATATTTAGAGCACTGTTTATGTAGCGTGAGCTGGTCATTTAACACCCAGAGGAAACTTAGGACCTCAGTTTTAAAAAAATATTGCACTTTGGACTGAGATCTCACAATTTTCAAGTAGGAAGGCCTGAATTCAGCCATTGCAGTGAGTAGGTCTGCTAATTTTTTCTGCTGTGTCACACCTCCTTAGCTCACTGTATACTTTGAATATCAACCAGTGCCGAGGGCTACTGTATGGCTTGGTCCTGTCAATTTCTCATTTAGGAAAATGGGATGCAGCAGCCTCCTTGTACTATTTTTACAGATCCAACACTTCTATGCCTTTAAACCCTCCGAGATAGTCAGGATAACTTCACACTTTTGTGTCACTTTCTGCTCAGACTCAAGGCCATCAGAATTACAATTAATTTGTATTTTAGACCTTTGTGTAAGAATATGTCATTTCTTGGAACTGTTTCTGGGTGACAAAGTACAGCAAGAAGAATTCACTGCTCTGTATACGTTTATATAGGGATTCCAGTTAATTACTCATTATGTTCCTGTATGTTTCTGGAAATTCATAGGAAAAAAATCACTTCCTCCCCCTCATATGTCAAAAAAGAAAAATAAAACTTCAAAACAGGGAAGATTTTTTCATATTACCAGCTCCTTAAGTGACCTTTGTTAAAAATATTTTTTCTAGCTCAATATTTTCCTTTAGCTTTTATTGTTAAATAATAGCCTGTCTGAAAAAGGGCAAATTTTGTAGTTAGATACACAATATATTGTCTGTACAGCATAGACAAAACCCAATTATTTGTTTTTAAATTTAACAAATACTTGAATTTTATGTGCTTTAAAATATTAGCTAATTTAATCTAATGGCAAACTCATGAGGCAGAATACTGTCAGTATCCCCTGTTAGATGTGTGACTAGTTAATATCATTTGATGGACAGTGGCAAAATGATCTGTATGTGGGTTTAGAAAAATAGCAGAAGAAATAAAATGTTGATGCTTAGTCTCTTCAGGGAGTGACTATTTCTGTCCGTGGCAGTTTTCTTAGGCTTATTTTCAGTGGTGAGCCCGGTTCATGCTAAGAGCAGCTTCTTCAAGTATTTTAGTGGCAAGTTCCCAAAGTTAATTCTGAGCTCAGTATATTAAACGCTGTACCACACCAGAGTGAATCATATTATAGCAAAGATGCACCATGGGTTTTCTTTTTTTAATAGTAGGACCAGAAAATTAAAGATTTCATTTACTTTTGAGCCACAGTCCAATTTAATTGTTCACATTTATATAATAGGTGGTAGCACAACCTATTGGAAAAGATTGCCAAAACCAACTGAGTTCTATTTGTTCTTTCCTGGACTACCTGAATGCTTTTAGGTAAATGCGTCTATCATTTCCTTAGTTTTGTTTTCATTTTGGTAAGAGAAGAGTAGTGCCACTTTTATTACTAACCTATGTGCTAGGAAGAGTCTGTAATAAACTCAAACTGTTGCCCGCTAAGATGAGCGATACAGCTGTGCGCCCCTTTTCTACTTGGAGTATTATCCACTGTTCCTCCTGCAGGGCATTTTGTGATTTTGATGGACAAGGAGCCCTTGTGCAGTTTGTCAAATACCCTATTACAAAGGTTTTGGATAGAAGCAAAATTTTAACCCTTTTCTGACAGTAAAAGCCTGCCCCTTGAGATTGTCGCTTTGATGTAATGGCTACAAAGGTTAATTTTGTCATTTCTCATACAAATATTTATTAAATGTCTACCAGAAATGAAAGGACAGGAGGTAATATGGGTGAATACTGAAGTCGAACTTGAAATTGATGAGTTCTTTCATTACCACTCTGGCACGCAGTCCTCAGAAACATTGTTTACATTATCTGAGATTTGGTTTTCATATTTATTCAGTGAAACTCCTTATATCTCTTCTGCCTTTGGGAACTACAGCTGCCATTTGTCTTATTGATTCTTACATATAAATGATAGGGATATTTAGAAGTTAGGACAGTTTAAAAGATGATGGAAACCTACCCTAGTTTTGCATCAGCTATAATGGTTTCAGTCCTTTTAACTTAAATGATGTGGTGGAATAATCACTAGGAATATTTTCCTAGGAAATCCAGATTGTTAATGGAAATTTACTTGTGCCATGAGAGACCTATCCAAGTGTATTCTCTGGTCTTCCAAAAATTTTAATTTAAGCTTGGATTCCTTTGCAGGTTTTCTTCAGTCTCCTCCAGTTACTCTGTGGAGAAGGCTCTTGTTTCTTCCTGTGAACCAAGGAGGAGATGGACCCAGGCTCCGTTTCAGTTCCTCTGCTGCATCTATAGGTGTTTGTATTGGATGTGTCACCCTTCTTCCCAAAATATTTTCCTCTTTTGAATTTCCTGTTTCATACGCAGTATAGGGTGGAAACCTAGTCATTAAGAGCCCTTTCTATCATGTTGTTCTGACTTCTTTTCTGTTTCCTCTATTTAATCCATATCACATTATATAAATCTCTAAGAACCATGATTTTGGAATATAACTCAGTGGCACAGTACCTGCCTAGAAAGTGCAAGTTCCTGAGTTTGATTCCTGGTACAAAAAACAAGAACTGTGATTTCTCCTCTCATGATTTTTATATTTAGTTTTTGAGTCTTTCTTTCCCCTCCCTCACTCCCTCCATTCCTTCCTTCTTTCCTTTAAAAAACTAAACGCATACAAGAAACAACTTCTCAGCTGGTGATAGGCTTTGGAGCAGGAGTATTAAGGCCACTGGAATAATCACCGATAATGCCACAGGAAGTTAATGCTCATCATTAAAACAAGCCTAAAATTTTTCTTTTTTAGGGGAGATTTAAAAATACCAGAGCAGTATGCTGCTTTGATACTTATTGATTGACAGGTAAATAAAAGCAAATCAAGAATGTTACTGTTGTAAGACCACATCAAACAATATGCAGTATGACATTCTTTTTAATTACAAACTTAATGACTTTAATAAAACATGGTTTTGGTTGTGTTGTGTGTGTGCATGTTGTGTTGCAATTGTACTTGTGTGTAGGGGGTACTGTTGTAAGATCTATTATTAGTTATTATAAACATAAGTATGATAGGTAACATATATTAAACATTTTCTTAATAATACCTTGTATTATTTCTTATATAAAGTTGTAATAGTTCCATGAGACAGATACTGTACTACAATTATACCCATTGTGTAGATGACTATGACTGAGGCAGAGAAGTTATTTGCCCAAAACTACATACTTATGCTAAATTGCAGAACTATGATTTTATCCTGGGATATCTAAATTCAGAGCCTAAAGTCTTTAAATTTGACACATTGCTGTTCTGCCTCATTAGAATTTCATCATGATCTTTCATAAGCTGTAATACTCTGAACCCAGTCATGCTGAGTCATCAACAATGGTGCTTAGATTGTAACTTTATTGTTGGCAAAATAATAGACCCCTAGCTAATGGTCATTGTCTATCGATTGATGCCTGCAAAATTAAACAGTGTGTGGGTGAGCTGGTTGGAGGTCATTGTGCATGAGGCCTGGAAGAAGGAAGAGCAGCACAGAGATGACGATGAGCAGGGACTTGGGCATGGAGGGTGAGTGAGCATTGGACAGCATCACAGTCCAGCTTCAGGTTGAGCTTTCAGCAAACTCAAAGAAATCTGTGTCTGATTGTTGGGGAGAACTTTAAGGAGTGGTCCCCACCTCACTGGACACTCTGTGAAGTGTGATGATTGATGTAGCAAGGTAAGTGCATACACTGGGCAGTGGTTCTCTACTGGAGGCTTTCTTGCTGCCTGGATGGCATTTGTTTGGCAAAGGCTGAGGACAGTGACTGGATGAAGAGGTCACTTTGGCATCTAATGGGTAGAGACAAGGGATGCTGCTAAACACCTAAAAGTACAGATAAGCCCTACCACCATCCCAACAAAAAATTATCTGGTCCAAAATGCCAGTAGTGCCATTCCTGAGAAGCCCTTATAAGGAGAGAAGGTTCTACCATCTTTCACACACAGACTCAGGCAAGCACTGCTTTGATACAGTATACATTCATACTTACTAATCATAAGCCACTGAGTCTCAAAAACAATGGTCATGGTAAAGCTTATTAATGTGCCTTCATCTTTATGTGATGGAGACTGAAGAAATCTGGGATTTTATCTATTAAGATGCATTTGTGAGGCACTGTTTGTTGTCTTAGTTACTTTTTTGTTGCTGGGACAAAACACCCGAAACCTACAAGTTGTAAGAGCAAAGGTCATTTTAGCTCACAGTTTGTCGAGGTTTCAGTCCATAGTTGGCTGGCTCCAAGGCAGGGTGGCATGGCAGAAGAGCATCACAGAGGAGAAATAGTTCTTGGCAGAGCAGTCAAGAGGAAGCCAGCAGCAAGCAGCCAGCTTTCCATCCCCTTCCATTTCATTTAGGCTACAAGCTTATTGGTTGGTGCTACCTCCACCCAGGGTGAGTCTGCAGGCTTCCATAAATCTAATCAGCTTCACCCAGAACCATATGGATACAATCAGCTGAGTAACGCAGTTGCCACAAACCCATAATTCTTTTTGCACATAGATCCAGATCTATGTGAAATAGATCCAGCACCACACACCCATGATCCAGCCATCTCCCCTAAGCCCCACCAATGAGCACATAAGGCTTTGGGGGGATGTCTAATATAAGCTATACTACCTGATGACTTTCAGAATTTGTAAGTAAATCAGTTGGAAGGATAAGTCCCGCCCATACTCTCTCAGTCCTTTCCTCCTTTTCTTTGCTTCTTCTTTCACTCTTGCCCTTGTCTTTTCAGCTAAAAATCTGGATACAAAGGCAAAAAGAAACATTAAAATGGAATAAAAGTACTTCAGGTCAAAGCTGTGGTTAGACTTGAATTTCTTCTGAACTGTCATGTATTAAACGTTTGGCTGCCTGGTGTTCCTGAAAGCCAGTGGAAGCTTTGGGAGGCGGGGCCTGTGGAAAGGTTTCAGGTCTGTCTTAGTCACTGTCTCACTGCTGGGACAAAACACCCAGTGTCCACAACCTAAAGGAGGACAGGTTTATTTTGGCTTACAGTCTCAGTTCCTGGTCTGCTGACTCCAAAGCAGCAATAGCCTGGTGGAGGAAAACTGCCCACATTGGGCAGACTGGAAGAAGAGAGAGAAGGGCTGGGGACAAGAACATGACTTTCCAGGTCACTTCCACAGTGATCCACCAGCAGCCAGGCCCCACCTCCTGATAGCATCTTTAGCTACTGAGCTCATTAATGGATGAATCCCAATGATGAGTATAACACCCCTAGGATCTAGTCACCTCACAAAAGCCCCACCTTTAAATGTAGGAAGCTTTGGGAGACATTCTTAGATATAGACCATAGCAAGGTCACTGGGGATGTACTCTCAAAGGGGACTGTGGAACTCTCACCACTTTCTGTTCTCTTTTGGTCCTGACTGTGAAGTGGAAGATTTTGCTTTGCTACCTGCTCCCGCCATGACCCGTTGCCTTCAGAACAGCAGGGCAGGCTGACCACAGTTGCACCTGTACTGTGAGACCCAGTCCTTTCTCTTTAGAAGCTGACTTTCTCAAGCATTTCATCGTAGTGTTAGAAGCTGATTATCATAAGTCTGTGCTACCATGTGATAACTATTTGTGTATTTAGAATATTATAGTTATGGGACTAAGGGTATAAAGACACACATATTTGTCATCCAAATTTGCTCAAGTAAGGACAATTGGGTTTTTGTTTTGACTCCCCAAATCTAGTATGCAGGAGGTCTCAGAAATTTGTACAGTTTGAACGCTAAGGGAGCCAAATAAGAGTGTGTGTATTTCTGAGCAAGCCTATCATCTTTAATAGGGACAAGTACCCACTGAGAGAGCACATGTCCTATAGATGAATCACTCAGATTATAGTCACACACAGGGAGAGAAGACTTTTCATTAGGAAACAAATAATTCACAACAGGAAATGCAGACACTGGCAACTGTTCTTTCACTTTTGAAATAAAAGTGAGTGATTAGGAGGCATTGTATTCACTAGGTCTATCTTTCAAAAATGTTTCTGATCAGTCAAAGCTGGTCATGTATGTTTATTTTTAGGGAAAACACTATAAATTATATTTATAAATTATGAGGAATTGCTCCCCTATAGCATTTTCTCAAAGCAAAGGAACAGTCTGCCAAAGTTCCACACTAGACAGTAAGAGAAAGAATAAAGCAAATATTTCAGCAAGGCAAATCCAGAGCAAACAATGAAACAAATGAGGTTATAGACAATGGCATGAATGTTAATGAGTATAATGCCATATAGTGGAAATCTGCTAAATGCTTTGTTGGGGGAATTGAAAGGACATTTCTCTAACAGTTTGCTCCTGTTGGTTATAATTTTTACAAAGGTACTGCAGAATGGCCCAATTCAGTCCCAACGCCATATTATGCAGATGCATTACAATTCCCTCCTGGAGTTCCATGGAAGAGTTGAGTCTAATTTAGCACAGTTGTTTCACACAATATCGTCAAGATCAGCAAGTAAATACACAAAGCATGTGTGCAAGGCTGAGAACTGATTGCAGCTTTGAAACCAAGGTCTCTCCTTCAGAGGTTCACAAATGTATCAGAAGAGGAAAAGAATCCATAAGTGACAGCAAAATAGTAGGTAAGGCTTTGTTAGATTTGGACAGCTGGCCTGCAACTTGAATCTATATTTTCTTTATATTTTTATTTATAATGATAAAACTGGAAACTTTCTCATTTTTATCTAAGGTGATGGACCACTTTAGAGCCCTGTTATCTTTTTTTTTTTTTTTTTTTTAGTACAAAAGATTCAACCTAGGGTATTGGTACTGAGCTATAATACTGGCACCTTTTGAACTTTTTATTTTTTATTTTGAGACAGGGTTTTGAAAGTCACTATGTTGCTAACTTGCAATCCTCCTGTCTGAGCCTCCTAGACAGCCTGCATGAACCTAGTATCTTCATAGGCATCCTAAGAAGGGGATAAGTCAGTTCTCTTGATCACAAATTGTGGGCCTTTGTTGGACATACAGCCCCCAAACTAGGTATGCACTACATTTATATTGTAATTCTTTCAACTGTAGAAGGGATTTTTACAGGAAAAGACCTATTTCAGTGATCTGTTCAATGTTAATCCTTTTTGCAGAGAGGAAGAACATTTTTTACTTATTCACTTACTCCTTCAGAGAAGATTTTTACATGACTATTACAAATAACATGGACTAACTTATTTTAGATTAACAAATTGAGAAGACAAACATTGAACTAGTAAATGATCATATCATATCATATGATAAGAGATAAAGGAGCAGGTAACTCTGTGGAGAATAAAGTACTTAACTGTCTAGAAGAAAGGGAAGAATTTAGGGAAGCAACCACTAAAAAGGAACAAGGGCGAGAATATGCTTTAAAGACTAGTGAGATTTCAGAGAACAGGAATTAAGCATGTATCACTGAATGTTTTGCTGCTATTTTTATGAGCCACCAAACCCATCCACATTTTAGATACTAGCTAAGTTAAAAAAAGACAAGATATAAAAAACTGTGACTATTTCTACCAGTTACCCTAGAATCCATTTCCACG